GGAAAATGCGCATCGTCCACCGAAAACGGTTAGGGGATGGTATTTTTACAACAAAACGAAAAATTATCGGGTGCTACTGGGTGGGTTTAAAGGAGCAGCAAGAGAGTCTGGAAAATTGGTAGCAATATCTCTGGGATGGGTAGGAATTGAAGAAGGACTTGGAAGATTAGGGGAACCTTGGAATGAGGTCAAGGAAGTCGGAGCGGGACTCGGAACGGCTGGATTATTTTGTGCCTTTTGTGAGTAATTGAAAAAAAAAAAGAAAAAAAGGAGAAAAATTGAGGCTTAGGTTGGCAGATAGACTAGCATGGAAGACGACGAGACAGACAATTTTGCTAGGAGGGCTAATTGGAGGAGTATTGAAAGTATTAGATTCGGCAAAGCGGCTATTAAAGAGGGTAGATAATAATTCTGATACTCCACAGAGTGAGAATGCGTAGTTCTAGCTTATTGCTCCACATGCTTTAATCATCTTGTACATCTACCACCACCATCTTCATCTATTATCCATTATCCATGCTCAAGTTTTGGCCAACGTCACCTGCTGCCATGGACCAGCTTACTCCCAGAGCCGACGATAGAGGCCGTGAACGCAATCCTTTTGATTCATCTCCACGTCCATCATCCATTAATCATCCCCTATTAACCCCTACAAGGATGAGCTTACACTCACCTTTTATCCCGGCTTCGGCGTATAATCAGGATTCTCCGCTCACGCCGCACGGACCACCATCTCCCAATCAAATTAGCGCCCATGCAGCTTTTGCTGCTTCACTTCCAACTACCAGCTTATCACTTCATGCTCCAGATTTCAATATGCAACTACCACCTCCTAAATCCAAACACCATCAGCCTCCAAACAAGCCCTCAGAAGCACCGCCATCGCCCACCAAGGCTTCTCAACTGAACACCGCTACCAAAGATTCTTCGTCTACCCCAGTTTCCAGAGGCCAGATACACGTCAAACTCATCCAAGCTCGAGGTCTCAATGTTCGCTCATTATCTGCCCGTCCCTATGTCGTCGTTCAATTCGAACAAAACGAATTTGTCTCCCGAGACCCCACGGATGAAACCGACAAGGAAGTCAAGGGTATCGCGACAAACATGGTGTCCAAGCAGCCTTCGTCTAATGCTATGAATGCTCTCGCTGCGGTAGATGCTGCGGTAAAACGGAGAAGTGGAGGCAGTGCTCCAGGGAGCAAAGACAATTCCCCCGTGTCGAGTGTTGGTTCAAAAGGATCTTCGGGGTTGGGTGGAGGTCTCTTTGGACGGCTTTCAGCCCATAACCCTGTCTGGAAACACGAGGTTTCATTGTGAGTCGCTGAATATTCACTCGTTTCCTCGTTGGTTCAACCATGTTTCACAGCGATGTTACAAATTCAGATTCACTCGTCACTTTCAATGTCTATGATCGTGCTGTAGAGGACACTGGCTTTCTTGGCACATTGCAGATCAAACCGATTCTAATACACGACCATAGTGTCGACCAATGGTACAAGTAAGCACCCGCCCCTTCAGCATGTCCTCGCACCATATTTTCTGGCCACGATGCAACACAGCCGATGTGTATAACACGTCGGATCTTCGTTTTTTTTCCACTTTCTAATAACCGATCGTTTTCCCTCCTGCCCTTTTTTCTTTCCCAGTGTCAAATTTCGCGATGGTTTGATGACTGATGGATTGCAAACTATCATTTCAGACTCAAGCCATTTGAAAACGATGCCAATGAACCTGTCACTGGAGAAATGCGTGTGCAGATTACGTTTGAGCAGTACAAGGTCCGTTTCTATGTCCGCCTTTTCTTGTTTTTTTTTTTTTTCTCTTCCTTCCGTTCCGCGGCGGTGACTCTGCTGTTGCGGTGCCCTGAGCTTCTGGGCCATTCTCTCCGGTTACCTCACCTTTCCGTATCACTTGGCCTCCTGTATATCCATCTCCGTCAGCCTGGCCTTTCCCGTCCAATCCCGACAGTGTCGCATCGTACGGATCGGCAGAGGAGCAACTTGGTCCCAAAATTCGTATCTCCTGTGCGGGATCCTTCCTTGCACCGCATCGGTGATTATTCTTTGGGGATTGTCCGAAGCTTGGGGTTTTGCATGCAACCTAGGTCTTTGATTGCACCAAGTGCGAAAGTCTATTGCCCCACACTCCCATCGGTCCTTCCCGATGCACGATGGCATTCTATACATTTCCCCGCATTTTTGAAGCCCAGGCGTGCTCGTTTCCATTCCTTGGAATTCGGTCTATTCAATCCCGGTCACATTTGCTGTATATGTGTCAAGACCGATGGCCTCATTCGGATATCACCCTCAGAGTGTTTATTACAGCCGCGATGTGGTCATCCTGATGGCGGGATGCATTTACAGCGCTACTTTGTTGGCTTGATATGGTTGGGGCTTTATGTGGGCCATGGCAGAGTAGTCAATATTGGTAATAAATGACCCGAGTGGTGACGGAGATAATTTTGATGGACGTGCACCACCTACACGTCGCTCGCTTCGTCACCTCACTCGAGTCCCTGCTCGCTCCTCAATTTCAGCATCGACGTCACCGCGGCGGTTTTCTATCAACGTCCTCATCCATCTTGCTCTTTTTTATCAATCTGCTCTCGCTTCCCTTTTATCTTTATTCTGAATTTTTTCCGAAAATTGAACATTTACTAACGATTTCCCCTATTTTCTCGTCCGCGCCCACCATTTCTGGTCTCTTCTCATGATAACTGTTCAAACGGAACCGACAATTTTCGCGTCTCGTGTGTATGATCCGCTGCGCAAAACTTCTTTTCCATATACTCTCTTCCTTCGGCAATCTTCCGAACTCGAATCACACGAAACATTCGAACTTGGTTCCTCACCTGTCAATTCTCATCCACCCCTCAATCACGTACCTTTCTCCTTTCAGACCAAACGTGCCCTGACTCCTCGCGACTTTGAGTTCCTGAAGCTCATAGGGCGAGGCACGTTCGGCAAAGTGCTCCAAGTGCGGAAACGCGACACAAAACGAATATACGCTATGAAAGTTCTGTCAAAGAAGGAAATCGTTGCCAAAAAGGAGGTTGCACATACTATCGGTGAAAGACAGATTCTTCAAAGGTCGTTAGAATCTCCGTTCCTTGTTGGCCTCAAGTTCAGCTTCCAAACGGAACACGACTTGTATCTGGTGACCGACTTCAAGAGCGGTGGAGAACTGTTTTGGCATCTGCAGAGGGAAACGAGGTTTACAGAAGAGAGGGCGAGGTTCTATGTTGCAGAACTGATACTTGCCTTAGAGCATCTACACAAATATGACATTGTGTACCGGGATCTGAAACCGGAGAACATTCTTCTCGATGCAACGGGGCACGTCGCGCTATGTGACTTTGGTCTATCCAAAGCCAATCTACGTGCAGATGAACTGACAACAACGTTTTGTGGGACAACAGAGTATCTAGCACCTGAGATACTCTTGGACGAGCACGGATATTCGAAGATTGTGGACTTTTGGAGCTTGGGTGTTTTATTATTCGAGATGTGTTGTGGTTGGAGCCCATTCTATGCAGAAGATACGCAGCAGATGTACAAGAACATTTGTTTTGGGAAGATTAGGTTCCCGAAGGGCGTGATCAATGAAGATGGGAAACAGTTTGTCAAAGGAGTACGTCCATTTCAGTTGATTATCAGACATTCGCCAATTCATGGACATGTAGCTGCTAAACAGAAATCCTAAACACCGTCTAGGTGCTGTCCGGGACGCCCAAGAGCTCAAAGAACACCCGTTCTTCAAATCAATAGACTTTGGGCTACTCGCGCAAAAGAAGGTTACTCCTCCCTTCAAGCCTGTGGTCGAGTCCGATGAATCTACCTCGAACTTTGACCCAGAGTTCACGGAGAAGAGTATCGCAGAGGTTGGACTGAACGAGGATGACTACGCGGACTTTGCCGAGGATGATCCTTCGGAAAACTGGGTATCGCAAAGCTTGAGCGGCAGTGGTTTCCTTCCTAATGGAGGACACATGCCTAACGGGCCTCTTGGTAGCGAAAAGACTGGCAGGACGCCACCAATGACACCCATATCGCCCATGACGTCCGTGATATTGCCCAACGGAACGTCGCACAAGACGACAAAGCACAAGTCGTCTTCCAGGAGTAACGGTGGATTATCTCGGAACGGCAGTGGTGCTTCCATAAAGTCAAATCATTCCTCAAAGTCAGTACACGGTCGGGCTGCGAATGGGATTGATATCAACACCAACGGGCGTCCATCGAAACAACATCGACAGCCGCCTGGCACCCCTCTTACGAACAGCGTACAAGAGAACTTCCGTGGATTCACATATAGCGGCGGGGAGTCGGTTTCGTCGCATGCGGACGCATTCACGTCGCGGAATGGCATGAAGGTTGAGGATGATGATAATGATGAGGATTATGTGGATGTAGACGACGACATAGGAACAGAGGATGAGTTTGAAGATTTCGGGAAGAGCGCGGGGAGATATGCAAATATGCGGAAGAAGGGAATGGGATTTACGGATATGGATGATATGAACTAAGGATCGTCAGGGACGTAGATGAGCACGCGAAAAGAAAGGCGAATATCGTAGGTCAGTGGGCCGTTTGTTGTTTAATAACTGGTAATCCGGGATCCCTAATTCTGTGGGCTCTACCATGGACCCGACAAGTTTTTATGCTTTCCGATTTGTGTTACCCTCAATTTCACTCATCCAGTGTCCGACTATTCTGTACTGATAGATGAGATACTACGTGCTTTCTCCCTGATCCCGGACTAGCTATATCATCTGTTCTCTTCAATGTATCACTACAATTCGTCAATTTTTCTCAGTTTCTCCTTAATGTAGTTTCTCGTCCGGAATATTCTGGACTGTAATTCATATGATACCACGGGCCGCGATGGACTGATTCCGCGCTGCGATATTTATCTTGACTAGTAAGTATGTACACATTCAAACTTTTATTGTCACCATTTGGAATGCCCTGAAGTTATAAAAAATACTCGATTACATCCAATTCCGACACGGGGAATCGAACCCCGGGCTATCGCGCTTTCCCTGTAATGAGAGGCGATAATGTTAGCCACTACACCATATCGGATATACCTGATTTATTGGTATCAGCTATGGAGTCTCTATGCAAGATCAAGCCAATTCCCTACGCCTTTTGAGTTGCTTCCTCAATTCCTTTCCGCTAAGTACCATCATGTCCGATCGCAGCCTCAATGCACCCACATCTTCCAAAAAGGACGTCAAGACACCCAGACGCCGATTTGTAGGCTCAAAAACTTCGCCCGGAAGTAGAATTAATTCTTCCTCTGTTTTTCGAAACCAAATTCCCTTGGATATATCAGAAGACAGCGAGTTGAATGCGGTGATAGACCAAGTTTTACCCAAAAACTATAGTTTCGAAATACACAAGACAATCTGGCATGTACGCAAGAATGAAAGCAAAATGGTAGCACTGCAGATGCCCGAGGGTCTTCAGATGTTTGCATGTGCGATAGCAGATATCATAGAACGGTGCGTGTTATCCAGTTCCAAAGTAGTGTTAGTATGACTTCTTCTAGGTTTACCCCAGCGCTGACAACGATTCTCGGAGACGTAACATATGGCGCATGTTGCGTAGACGATTATACTGCCGTGGCCTTGGGTTGCGACATGCTGGTTCACTACGGCCATTCCTGTCTAGTTCCATCGAATTTCACGACGCCTGGGCTCAAGACTTTGTATGTTTTTGTAGAGATCGGCATTGATTCTGTCCATGTACATGAGACAATCCGCGCCAACTTGAGTTGCGAGAGGGAGGTTTTCGATAGTTCGCTGGAAGGGTTAGGGATGGGGGAAACGGGACAGAAGGAAATCAAAGCAGGGGAGAAGATACCGGTGGCAGGGCCTGGCCTCAGGATTGAGTTGGATCCGGCAAAGAGGTCTGGGATTGAGTCCACTGTGGGATCGACAAGAGAAGATGGGCTTTCTAACCCGACTCGACTAGCACTGGTCTCAACGATTCAGTTTGTTGCTGCTTTACAGAGGCTCAAAGAAGATCTGAGTATTCCTTATACTTCCCCATCTCCGTCAGCGATTCCCCTATGGACTGGACCCTACTCTCCAACAATTCCCCGATCCAAACCGTTATCTCCTGGAGAAATCCTAGGATGCACAGCGCCAAAATTGGGAGAGGAAGTAGATGCCATTGTGTAAGCCATCCTTTCTTAGTTCTTGTCCCTTGAGATTCCTTATATGCGCCTCCGACTGATAATCGGATTCAATTGTCAGATACCTAGGCGACGGCCGATTTCACCTCGAAGCGATAATGATAGCCAACCCTACCGTTCCTGCATTCCGATATGATCCCTATTCCAAGAAACTAACTAGGGAAAGATATGACCACAGGGAAATGCGGGAGGTGAGGAGGGATGCAGTTGTCGAAGGTAGGAAGAGCTTAGGTTGGGTTGAACAAGCTGCACAAGCCCAAGGGAAGGAAGAAGTAGACTTGGAGGTAGTCGAAACAAAATCCACGACAATGAAGCTTCCTCACGAGGTGGACGATTCGGCGCCGCTATGGGGTGTTATACTAGGTACGCTGGGCAGACAGGGAAGTTTTAGGCAGCTGCAGGTAAGTTTTTTTTTTTTTTTTCCTTTTGTATTTGTTTTTCGCTTCTCTTGGAGGATTCAATATCTGATTGCTATGAGTGTCAAATGCGAGTCATTGAAATCATCATCGATTCATTGCATATTTCCTCCTTGAATTCTATACTAATGGATTATAGGCAATAACGAATCAGCTATGTCAATCACACACTCCCATCCCGTACATGCCTATCCTGCTATCGGAGCTTTCACCTGCAAAGTTGGCCTTGTTCAACGCGCGTCCTTCTTCCGATTCATCTTCTCCGAAAACACAGATCCCTCGTATCTCAACATTTATCCAAACTTCCTGTCCACGTTTATCCATCGACTGGGGATATGCATTCGAGAGACCTTTGTTAAGTCCCTATGAGTGCGCAGTTGTGCTGGGTATAGGAAAGGAAATTGGGTGGATGGAGTCTAAATCGGAGGAGCAGCAGAAAGCCAAATCTGACTCTGAGATACACTATCCAATGGACTTTTACGCTGCTGGAAGTCCATGGGCATTGTCAAGAGTTAGTGGTGTGTTGACGTAGCGTATTAACTTTACTTGAATATAAGATACGGATTGATAGGCTCTGCTGATTTACACGCCTATCTTGAATGTAGTTTGGTCAGACTCCTCAATAAGAGAAATTCAACTCTCAAAGAAACGTACCGTCTCACAATCTTTTGGCACCGTGTCACGCCATCACAAACTGTCACACTCATTTTCCAAACCATCACCATGTCCGACAGAGGTCGTTCAACCTCTCCACGTCCCCTTCGCAGTGCTACGCACAACGGTTCTGTCGATGTTGACATGGACCGGAATGTCGCTGATGGCGCAGAATTCTCCACCAAAGATATGCCAGACGCCAAAGTGATTATAGTCAATAATTTGACGCGAAATGTTGTCGAGGCACATTTGAGGACCGTGTTTGGCTTTTACGGACAGATTATGAAACTGGATTTACCGCTTTTTGGTAAATGTGAGTCCTATTCTGCTGAATTTTTCTTCTGACTAATTCTGACAAATTACTCCTTCTGCCAGCTGGCCAAAATCGAGGGAAAGCTGCCCTCGAATTCTCACTTCCTTCTGAAGCACATACCGCTATGTCACACATGAATGGTGGCCAGCTTGACGGAGCAGTCCTCAAAGTAGAACTATCCGAGCTCCCGATCCGATCACGGTCTCCCCGCTCGCGTTCTTCTGTATCCCGCTCACCTAAGCCTTCCCGCAGAAATGGCTACGGGCGGGATAGAGGAAGGGCCAGGTCAGATTCCCGATCCCTGTCCAGATCCCGTTCACCTCCTGGGAACCGATACCGCCGCAAGGATGATGGGCCAGGATTCCGGGGAGGTAGAGCTGGCTACAATAGCCGTCGCGGGGGACGCGGAGGACGTAGAGGAGGACGTCCTGGTGCTGGCCCGTCTCGATCTCGATCTCGTTCACCGGTCAGAAGGGGCGGCTTGGGACCTCGTAGGAGATCACCTAGTTATTCGAAAGGTGGGTATGGCCGTCGAGGCCGTTCGCGATCTCGTTCCCGCTCGAGATCCAGGACGAGAAGCAGGACGAGATCTAGGAGCTATTCAGTTCGATCAAGCCGCTCCCGTTCGTATTCTCGTTCAAGATCCAGGACGAGAAGCAGGAGCAGGTCATACTCGTATTCATCGTATTCGAGGTACAGTCGGAGCAGAAGCCGAAGTAGGGGAAGGTCGCCCAGTCGCGGAAGACGGAGTATGAGTCGAGACGATATCAGGGATAGTAGGTCGAGATCGCCGGCGAGGGATCTATGAAGTGGGTGACTGCAAAGCCCGGAGGCAGATGGACGAGGCTTGCTATGCTTGAAGTTAAGATGCTGTCTGTTTGACGTCTTTTCTTGTTCAAAGACCCCGCAAAATTGAAGCACGACGTAAAATGTATTGCTTTTTCCAGTTATTTATGACCGTTATACCCAACTGTAAGCATGCGGTGCTCCGTTGTTATTCGTTCAACCATGAGGCCTTGAGGGCAAGTCTGTAATACTAATACGATTGGGGAATTGCCCAATCTGAGTCCGTAATTTACATAGGTCGCACGTGGTAGCGCGGGTGACGCAACCAATTATATATTCTGTTCTCGTTCCACCATGTCCGAGTCGGACCCTCCGCAACGATGTGGTATGCGAGATACTTGCGGAAGCAAGAGCATCTTTGGCAAACAGCTTCCATGTCCCTATGATGGCCCGCCGACCGAAGTTTGTGTACTCTTCATCTGGTGATAATAATTCTCGTCTCACTTCTTTCTTTCAGCCCGACAGCGCGACAAGAAGACTCTTACGGGACGTTTGCGGACCAGCTTTCGAATCTGGTCCGGTATGTTGCACTCATGACCAAGTTTCAACGTTAGAGGACAACTTCCGAATAGTTGACAGGATTGTCTCTGCTTGTCCAGCTTGCAAGAACAACTTTCATGATTTTTTCTGCAAATTTACCTGTTCACCCAACCAAGGCTCCTTTCTGAATGTCACCTCCACTCAAACTACAACTAGCAATCAAATTGCTGTCCAATCCGTAGACTTTTTCGTCGCGCCACAGTTTGCGCAAGGTTTCTTCGACAGTTGTAAGGATGTAAAGTTTGATGCCAGTAATGGATATGCCATGGACTTTATTGGTGGAGGAGCCCAAAACTATCACGACTTTTTGGGTTTTCTCGGAGAAGAAAAGGATTTGGGAAGTCCATTTCAAATTGACTTTCCGTCCATATCTTCTCCCCCATACGTTCCGCTCAATCCTCCTTCGAGAAATTGCAGTGACAACGATTTAGGATCGCGGTGTACTTGCATCGACTGTCCGTCTATCTGTCCTGTTCTCCCAGATCTTCCAGACTCCCACTCAGTGTGTCGCGTCGGTCTACTATCTTGCTTGTCTTTCACCCTTATCCTCACTTATTCCATTGCCGTCGTCGGTTTCCTCCTCGGCTTCTTCATTCAAAGCACCATTCGCAAGCGTCGAGAGCGTCGCTACGAGCGAGTGGCTTTGTCCGGAGAAACACCGACCACGCCACACGTACTTGTCGGTGCTTCTTCACTCGATGACCATAACACGGGTCTTGCTCGGGGTCTTATTGACCCAGTAGAGACTGTACAGCCGAAACAATACAAACTCAACGCTGTTTTACGAAGATTCTTCTACAAGCTTGGTCTTACAACCGCTACCTACCCTTTCCTCACCTGCGCCATCGTTTTCACGGTCATCGGTTTAATCAACATTGGCTGGACGAAGTTTGATATAGAAACGGATCCTGTACGGTTATGGGTTGCACCCAATTCAGAGACGCGCATCCAGAAGGACTTTTTTGACAAGCATTTTGGGCCTTTCTATCGTCCGCAACAAATATTTATCACTTCTATTGATCAGGAGAATGACCCAGTAATATCCTTCGAACATCTCGAGTACGTCTTCAACCTCGAACGTCACATTAGGGAGGAATTAGTTTCTAGACCCAAT